GTTAAAACATAAAGTGGGGTAGACAGTAGAGGTGTACGCTTAAATATGTAACGGAGCAAAAGTGAAAAGTACCTCAAAAATCTACTTAAATAAGTACAGTTACATGAAAAGTGCACAGTAAAATAAATTAAGAACATTGTACCATTGTTGTTATTATACTAAATATGAAACTAGAGATGTGCTCAGAAGGTAGAAAGAACCACGAGGTTGGATTCCCTCTTCCGTCAGTCTCCATTCTGAAGTGTCCTTAGGCAAGATACCTGGCCCCAGATCGCCCCTAATGACTGGAATGACATTGTATAAACAATATGTGATAGGAAAAGGGAAGCCTTGTGTGAATGTGTGTGTGAAAGGGTGAATGTGGCTTGTACTTTAACGTGTGTTCAGTGGTCGATAAGACTAGAAAATCGCTGTATGGACACAGCCCATTTTCCATTTAACCATTGTTACACAGACATTATCACAAATTAAATGAACTAGATTTCAATTGTGGAAAATTGACCACTTTTGTAACGGTGTAACTGCGTCTGACATTATGGGAAAACAAACCTGAGGAAATCCTGGTCAAGGACAACAACAAGGTAAAGGAAAAGGAAACTTCTGTTAGGCTCAATCAATCACACAATCTTCAACCACAAAAAGTGGAGCATGGCTGCTTTTAACTGAGGCTGCCTGATACCACAGAACTCTATTAGTCCAAGGAATATATCAGTGTTTGTCGAGCATTACTAATGTTTCAACCTATTCAGAGTAACGCTTGTTTGTGTGAACTGCTTAGCAGTGTTTGCGTGGCTGATTGTTCTGATGTCCCGGGGATGACAGAACAGATGCTCATTGCCAAGATATCTATTTCCCCCTCTCTGCCTATCTCGCTTTTTTCCCTTCTTCTCAGATCTAAGAATTCCTTTCATCCTTCATTATCCCTGCAACTCTCTTTTACCATCTGCAGTTTTTGTCCCACTTTGTATCTCCCTCAACTTCACCCCCTCATCTCTCTCACCTATTTCATTCACTGCCTATTCAGCCAAATGTTCCCACGATCCGTCTTTATGTCTGTCTCTATCTCTCCCTCTCTGAAACTCTACCTATCATTTTCCCAACAACCCCCACCTCCTCCTCATCCCACTGTCCCCCCTCCCTCCCAGTTTTCTTTTTTCTCCCCATAAGCTATTCATTATGAATTAGAATCCTCCTTTTCAATGCTGTGATTCATACAAGCTTGTTATATGTTAAGCACTGTCATCTCCATAAAAGCTGTATCTATAAAAAGAACATTGTAAACCCCCATCTTGTTATTTCAAAGGAAAACATTGACAACATGTGCTTCCTTGTACACGGGGAGAGGATGTGCATTAAATCTATTTACCACTTAGACCTACAGTATGTCTTCTTTGAATTCCACTGTCACCGCTTAGTTGCCCGCACCGACCTCCATCATCATCTCAGCTGTAAAACACATTCCCCGGTAGGGATTTTTTTTTTCCCTCGACCCCACGTTAATACCATGCTGCAACACCGACCATAAATTGCGATGAGAAACCAAATTAACAACATGCTGTGATTGCACAGTGGGGAAAATACAGTTCACAACGATAAATCAGTATCATAATGCACGAGTCTGAA